CAGAAGCTGCGTGAGTGGTACGTTAGCCGTCAGGGTCGAGCTGCTGGAGCTAGGGGCCCTGCTGCGGGAGGCGCTGGAGCTGGTGACTCTGCTACTGGAGTTGTTTCTACTGGAGGCCCTGGAGCTGGAGGTGCCGGTTCTGGGGGTGCTACTGCTGGTGGCGCTGGCGCTGGAGGTTCTGGAGCTGTTGGAGGTGCTGGCACTGGTGGCGCTGGAGTTGGAGGTTCTGGAGCTGCTGCGGGTGCTGGCGCTGAGGGTTCTGAGTCTGCTGTTGCGCGGTCTCCTTGGAGTAGCCGCCTTCGTCCGCGTGTGCCTCTCACCTCACAGCAGCTGCACGACTGGTACGGTCGCCGTCAGGGTCGCGCTTCTGGAGCTCGGGGCTCTGCCGCTGGAGGTACTTCTGCTGACGTCACTGGGGCTGGGAGTGGTGCTGGTCCCGGAGGTGCTCGTACTGGAGGTACTGGAGCTACTGGGTCTGGAGGTGCTGAGCCTGAGGGTGCTACTGCTGGAGACCCTGGGTCTGGGGGTGCTGCTGCTGGAGCCACTGAGGCTGGAGACCCTGGGACTGGACGTGCCGGTTCTGGGGGTGCTGCTGCTGGTGGAGCAGGTCCTGGAGGAGCTGAGGGTTCTGGAGCTGCTGGAGGTGCTGGAGCTGCTGGGGGTGCTGGAGCTGCTGGTGCTAGTGGCACTGCACAGCCGCGCCTGTTCTTTGCTCCACCGTCTCCGTCGTCTCAGCCACCGCCTGACTCTGTGCTTCATCAGGTTCTTAGTCTCCCTTTGTCTACTGGTCTTCCGTTACAGCCTGGCTCACCGCTGCCTGCTCCTTCTCCTTACACTGAGCAGACAGGGGGTCTTAATGAGCGTCGTGAGCCTGCGTCGCGTCCTGTCTCGCCTGTCCGTTCTGCTCGTTCCGGTCGTTGTGTTCCTCGTCCGCGTCAGCCGGCTGTCCCCGGCACCCACCTCGTAGTCCGTCGTCCTTCCTCTCCTCCGCAGCGTATTCCCCTGCCGTCTCCTCCTGCGTCTTCTCTGCCTACCATTCCAGAGCCTGAGTCTGACCGCGCCCGTGCTGCTCACCCTACTACCACGAGTCTGCTAGCCACAGTTGTCACTGACCCATCGTTTGAGTCTGCTGCTGCGTCTGCCTTAGTCGCTGAGCTTGTTGACTTTGCTGCTGCCTGTCGTCTAGACTACGCCGCTAGTCTTGTTGCTGAGTCTGAGTCTGTCTGTCCTCCGTCCGTCGGGGGTGAGTGTGCTCTTGGCACGGACGTCCTTGAGGACACGCAGGAGGACCTTGAGTGTCTTGCAGCCGCTGCGCCTCATCTCGTGTCCATGCTACTTGCCCCTGAGGGAGACCCGGATGCTCCAGACATTCCGACCCCGCGCTCTTACGCTAAGGCGATCGCGGGTGAGTACTCCTCTCAGTGGCAGACAGCTATGGACGCAGAGATGGCATCCTAGAAGTCCACAGGCACCTACGTCGACGAGGTTTCCCCTCCTGGGGCGAACATCGTCAGTGGCATGTGGATTTTCAGGGTGAAGCGGCCGCCAGGTTCTCCGCCTGTCTTCAAGGCTCGTTACGTTGCTCGAGGTTTCAGTCAGCGAGAGGGAGTTGACTTCTTCCAGACCTTCTCCCCCACCTCGAAGATGACCACTCTTCGGGTGCTGCTGCACGTTGCCGCTCAACGTGACTACGAGCTACACTCTCTTGACTTCAGCACAGCTTTCTTACTAGGCAGCCTGCACGAGGAGATCTGGCTGCGCCGCCCTCCAGGCTTCACTGGGTCGTTCCCTCCTGGTACCTAGTGGAGCCTCCTGCGGCCGGTCTACGGTCTCCGCCAGGCGCCACGTGAGTGGCACGACACACTGAGGACGACACTTGCTGCTCTTGGGTTTGCTCCGTCGACTGCTAACCCGTCGCTGTTTGTGCGCACCGACACTTCGCTGCTGCCGTTCTACATCCTCGTGTACGTCGACGACTTGGTCTTTGCCACTGCTGACACTGAGGCTCTCGCCCTGGTGAAGTCGGAGCTGCAGAAGAGACACACGTGCACAGACCTGGGTGAACTGCGCAGCTACCTTGGCTTGCAGATCACCCGGGACAGAGCACGCCGCACCATCACACTGACTCAGTCACACATGGTGCAGCAGGTCCTTCAGCGCTTCGGCTTCACCTGGTCATCGCCACAGCACACTCCTCTGGCTACAGGCCACTCGCTCTCAGCTCCACCTTCGGACGAGTCCGTAGAGCCGAGTGGCCCGTACCCAGATTTAGTGGGCTGCCTCATGTACCTGATGACCTGCACTCGACCTGACCTTGCGTACCCTCTTGGCCTTGTGGCTCGCTACGTGGCTCCTGGTCGGCACCGAAAAGTGCACATGGATGCTGCTAAGAGGGTACTGCGCTACTTGTGCAGTACATCAGGCATGGGACTCGTGCTTGGAGGGAGGAGCTCAGTTGTCCTCACTGGGCACTCAGACGCTTCTTGGGTTGACGACCAGGCTACGCAGCGGTCGTCCCAGGGTTACACCTTCAGCCTTGGCTCTGGTTCAGTTTCTTGGCGTTCTACACGCTCGTCTTCTGTTCTCCCGCTCCAGTTGTGAGGCTGAGATCTACGCCACAGCCATGGCTGCACAGGAGTTACGCTGGCTCACCTACCTGCTGACCGACTTGGGAGAGCAGCCTCGTTCTCCTCCAGTGTTGTACGTCGACAACAAGGCCGCCATTGCCTTGTGTTAGGAGCACAGACTGGAGCACAGAACGAAGCACATCGCTCTGCGTTACTTCCTGGCTCGAGAGTTGTAGCAGCGTGGTCAGCTTCGTCTTGCTCACGTGTCCACTCGGGCCAACACTGCTGATATATTCACCAAGGCACTTCCGTCTGGTGATCATCAGCGTTTCTGCACTTTGTTAGGCCTTGTGCCCACTTTTTCTCACTTGCTGTAGACTTTGCTTGCACTGTGATCTATATATATACCTGCATGCTTGCTCTGTTAGGTAGAGATCACTGTGCTGTTGGTATTGCATATATACCTCTGCATGTGAACTGGCCTTGTGGCACTTTGCTTGTGCTCAGTGTGTGTGGTGACGTTGTGATCCACCCTGAGCTTGCTTTTCTTCGCTTGACTGGTCTTGTGACCCCTTGCTCTCCCCGACTTTGCCTATGGGGGTGTGTCAAAGTATATGCATGCTATATATGTATAGGCTGTAGTTGGGTAGCCAATATGGGGTACAGCCCCGGTTAGGGTTTCATAGTTGTACCCTACTCTTCCATAGTGCATTCATTTTTCCTGCTGCTAGACTCTAACAGCTCCGCCTGTCAGGGATTTCCACGAAGTACTCGTCACTGTCGTCGGGTTTTGACGTGAATTTGAGAAGCCACCGGGGACGGAATCTTAAAATTTCGAGCTGCTGCTAGCATAAATTTTGGATGCACCGGCTTGTGCGATGTTTTTGGTGCCTGGATTAGTTTGCAGAATGAATGACAATCTCTGGGTACTTTATGTGTACAATGTACCGTATATGCTGGTTGTGCTGCTGGAGAAGAAAACACATCAGCCTGTCCACCTCATTGCAGTCCCCTCAAGTCCAAGTCCCAAGCATACTTCCAACAATGCACATCCTGTGTTAGATGCGTTTAGGGAACCCACACTCATAAACTCAGTTTTGCTCAACCTACCTGTACATGTCAATGTCAAGGCATGGTGTCTCACGAGTCATGACAGGAAGAAGTTGACAGCTCCTTCATTCTAGGAACGCATTGTCTTGTTGTACGCACATGCATCTTCGTGTAGAGCCTGATAAAATGCTAGTGCTGGATATTGGTACGGTATTCCTAAAGCCAAACTAGGCGTATAGCTGTGGGATCTAGTCGTATATTACCCAGGATATCAAAGTGGACCTGGTGTTACAATCATCCCAGGGAAGTTGTCCCTGATGAGGCATTCAACGTCTTCAGTTTCCGTGGCAATCACCTGAAGGCTCTTGAGCCCGTTGAGCCATTTGAGGCCAGCGACAGTGACATTCGCATCCCACAGCCTCAGCCTCTCCAGTCGCTTCATGTTCCTCAGCAGCTTCATGCCGGAATATGTTACCCCTGGAGGCACAGTGAAGAGCTTGAGTGCGGTGAGAGCAGTCAAGTGCAGCAGCCCGTCCTCGGTCACGCCAGAGTCGTGCAGCCTGAGAGATGTCAGTGCTGTCAACTCGCCCACATGCACCATGCTGGCCGAGGTGACAGAAGAGCACCCAGAAACATTCAGATCCGTGAGCTGAGTCAGCGTCAGCAGCTTCTGCACTCCCACATCTGTTACCGGGTTGCTACGAAGATCGAGCGTGTGAAGGTTCTTGAGGCCGTCAATGCCTTCAAGAGCAGCATCCGTTGTCTTTGTACCGGTCAGATCCAGAAGTCCCAGGCTCGTGAGAGAGAAGACATGTCTCAGTCCCACTGCAGTGAACCCGGAGGCCCCGCTGAGGTCGAGCCATGCGAGACAGTGCATGGAGGAGAGTCGAGTGAGGGCGGTGTCTGTGAGGAGGGACACGCCGCTGAGGTCCATGCGAGACCTGCCTGGAAGAACCTTGGCCCAATCTCCAATCAGTTCCTGCAGTGCAGCCAAGAGCAGCAACAAGGCAAACACACACACACAGAGATGAGCACGACCTAGTGACGCCAGGGAGACAAATCTTGGTGGGAGACAGATTCCGCACATCATGTTTGTCAGGTGTGAGGCACTTGGTTTGGAACGAGCTGTCCGGTTGGTGGTCGATGGAGGAAAATTATAAGGACGGAAATCCAAACGCTTTTGTGATTTACTTTCAAAACGGTAGGGCTGACTGACATGGTTTTGGTTAACTTCTGGATATCATGTGGACCAAAATGGGTCCGTTTCCACATGGAACCCAGCATCGATTACGCACAAGCCAGGAAGGAAAACAGCACCCGGGAGAATAGGGTTGTATCACAAGCCGACCAACAGTTAACCGTCCCACACGACCCAGGCGGATTCTAGAATCCACATGCCAGTGCCACGCCGTCTTGCATCCACACCATCCGCCCGTTTGCACTCACCTCCCATATCTTGCTTCCTCCGTCGCTCGTTTTCTCCAGTGCTTCCACTCGCGCCCTCAGCCCCTGCAGCTCGTTATCTTCCTCCTTTGCTTTGCCCTTTCTGTTCGCCTCAACACGATTTCCTCCAAGCGCACCGCCAACGGCGAAAGGCCCAAGCCCAGCCCCTGCAGGAGCATCTTCCATTTCCTCCTGCTTACACGCCTCGTTCCTCTTCCGCTTCTTCCCTTCGCGCCTCTCCGCATCTGCATACTCCCCCGCGCTGCCCGCCTCGCGCTCGGCGCGGATCTTCTTCGCCTGCCCCTCCTTGATTGCGGCGAGCGCCAGCTCGACGTCGTTGATGCGCGCCTCCGAGTGCGCCGCCGTCGCCTTCACGTACGCCACCTCCGCCGCCTGCCGCTCCGCCGCAGCCCTCGTCCTCCCCGCGCATCTCACTCGCCGCGTCCCGCGCTTCCCCCCTCGCCGCTTCCAACTGCGCCTTCACCTCCTCCAATTCCAGCGCAGCAAAAGCGTTGGTCCGCGGCGCGCCAATGCCCTCCGCTGCCTCCTCTGACTCACTCCCTTTTCCCGCCCCCTCCCCCAAAGCGCCCGTCGCCACCATCCCCTTGAAGAGGGCCATGGCTCGGCGCGTTTCGGCCAAGTCGCGCTGCATGGCAGCCATGGCGTCGCCCTGCTCCCTCAGCTTCGCCTCCATAGCCGCCACGCGCTCCCCCACGCCGCCCGCCATCTCCGCCAGCTGCACCTTCAGCACCATGCCGTTCACCAGCCGCAGCTCCATGTCCCGCGGTGTCATCGCCATTTTCTTCTCAACCCCGTGAGTATCGTCAAGGTCGAGTGCTGTATGTCTGTACGCTGGAGGGTAACAACTTCACGCACAGCAACTTCAAAGCTGGAGGGTAACAACTTCACTACTGAAATAAAAAAGATGACGCAATTCGCGACGCTGGCGAGGGAAACGTGAAATAACTTGGTCTGCTTGGAGCTGTACTGCTGGATTTAATGCCTGGGGAATAGATTATTAAGCAAATGTGATTTGTTTGGACCAATGCATGGCAAGCTAAACCGAACCAGAGCAAACGAGTCTCGTCGTCACTACGAAATGAATGGTTGGACATGCTGAGGTTGGGACAGCACGCGAGGTCGGGACAGCAAGCGAGTTCGGGAATCGCAAGGGGTGCCGAACCACTCCCGAACCATTTCCGAACCGACACTCCAAATAGTTAGTGATGAGTTACCCTGCTATCGATAGCGTGGGGTCCTTCTTCGATAGCAGGTGTGTGAACCGAACGAAACCACCCTAGCATGAAATCAACGGTCAAAATCCGTTTCGCCATTACATTTGTTACGGGTGCAATGACTCTAGGTAGCGAGGGTTGCACGCTAAGTGTCAAACGAGTACAAAATGTGAGCTAAGGCATGAGCGAACATTTATACGCTAAACATGCAAACGGTAACGCGGTGCATGCGAGCTGCATCGAGGCTCGGGCTAGTCCCGAAGCGTAGGCCGACACGGCCGGGCCAGCGGTGCATGGTTTGGTGAAACAGTGCGCGCGAAGTCGGCGAAGCCCCGTTAGTAGTAACGGGCGAACAACGGCTGCTGCTGTACGCGATGTTGTAGGGCGCGCTAAGGAATATCGAGAAAATTCCTTACACTACCACCCCCCTCAAGAAGCCCCCCCCGCTACGCGAGTGCGTGTATATCGCGGAAACCCCGGCTCCTCAGGTACACTTGCAGGACAGGGTGGTTTTCAATGTTGGCTAGGGGCACCCAGCTATCCTCAGTTGGCGTGCGGTCCTTCCAGCGAACGAGGAACCCGATCCTCCTGATTCCCATAGGGTGTCGAATCCGATGGCTCAGAATCTTTTCGGGCTCGATGATCGGCTCCGATGCAGGGCGGGTCATGGATGGCGGGCGGTGACGAGGCAGTTGGCTGGTGGTTGGGATGTAGGGTCGAAGCAGGCTGGCGTGGAATGATGGGTTGATGTACCAGTCTGTCGGCAACAGTAAGTGGGCGGTCACTGGGGTGATCATGTGGCTGATTTGGAATGGTCCACAGTAGCGCGGTCGTAATTTTGGTACGACGAGCAGTCTTAAGTTCTGTGTGTCGAGCAGTACGCTATCTCCTGACTGGTACGTGACTGGGCGGCGGTGGCGGTCAGCGTTGCGCTTAGCGATTACATTTGCTTTTTTTTATTGCTTCGGCGGCTCTGGTGCGGGCAGCTTGCAGAAACTCAGCGAATTGCTGTGCACGTGGCGTTGGGTTGTCCGGACTCGGCGTCATGGGCAATGTAGGGTTTTGCCCATAGTTCAGGTAGAACGGCGACTGGTGCATTGTTACTGACGTGGCGTTATTGTAGGCGAACTCGATCCGCGGCAGCTGCTGCTCCCAAGTTGTCGGGTCGTCACATGTGGCCCGAATCAACTGCTCCATCGTCTGATTGGTCCGCTCCGTTTGACCGTCGGTCTTGGGGTGGTACCATAAACTGAACTGTAGCCTGGTCCCGAACTGCTCCCAAATGTTCTTCCAGAAGTTGCTGGTGAACTTCGTGTCGCGGTCGCTGATTATCGCGGATGGTATCCTGTGCAGTCGAACGACGGCTGCGATGAACAGGCGAGCGGTTTCTTCAGCTGAGATCGATTTCTTGCACGCACCGAAGTGTCCCATCTTTGTCAACCTGTCAACGACGACCATAACCGCGTTGTTACCCCCAGGGTTCGAAGGTAACCTCGTGACGAAATCCATGGTAACCTGCTGCCAGGCGCGCTCAGGCGGTGGAATCGGCTGCAATTGACCCGCCTTTCTTTTTCGCAAGCTCTTCATCACTTGACACGTAGGACACGAGCCCACGTGGTGCTGTACGTCGGTCAACAGCTCTGGCCAGTAGCAATACCGCTGCAGTTGCTGTCGCATTTTTTCTACCCCAAAATGTCCCGAGGTAATTCCGTCGTGTGCCTCCTACAGTAGCAGCTCCCTCAGTGATGAGTACGCGGGTACCCAGATGCGGTTGGTGCCTGTCATTACGTAATAGACTCCTTTAGCTTCTGCCAGTTGCTGTGAATTTCCGGTCGTGAAAAATTGGTCGGTACTGTATCTGTGGGTGAATAGGTCTGTTAGCAGTGGGTTGGTTTGGGCGAGTAGGATTGCGTGGAGTTGGGCGGTGGGTCGTATGAGTGCGTCGGCGATATTCGATGCGCCTTTTTTGTACGTGACTATGTAGTGGAAGTTGGACTCCAAATAGTCCAACCAGCGGATCTGTCACGGGTTGAGGTTCGGTTGGGCGCGAAGGTACTGTAGTGATCGGTGGTCTGTCCGTACTGTCACGTCTGCTCCCGTGAGGTAACATCGCCACACCTTGAACGCGTGCACGATCGCCAGCATCTCGCGGTCGTGTATCGGGTAGTTGCGTTCGGGCGGGTGAAGCTTGCGGGACTCGTACGCGATTGGATGGAGGCCGTTCCCAAAGTCCTGCAACGGTACTGCTCCCACGACGATGTCGCTAGCATCGGTGACGAGCTCGAACTGACGGTGCGGATCTGCGATGTGAAGCACGGGCGGCGAGCACAAAATTTGTTTGAGGGCCGAGAAGGCAGCTTGCTCTTTCTCCGCCCACGTGTACTCAACCCCCTTCCTCAACAGGTGGGTCAACGGGGCAGTCAACTTCGCCATGTCGGGGACGAACCGTCGCACGTAGTTGACGAATCCCAAAAAACTCTGCAACTCGGTCAGGTTTGTCGGTGCGTGCCACGCTTGAATCGTCGCGATCTTCTTCGGGTCTATTTCCACTCCGTCAGCGGAAATAATGTGTCCCAAAAACTCCGGCCTGTCCTATAAAAACTCACACTTAGAGGCTTTAGTCAGTAGGCGGTTTTCATTCAGTATTTTACAAACTGCTTCGATGTCCTGTAGGTGCTGTGCTCTGTATGGGCTGTAAATCAGGATGGCGTCGAGGTACTGATAAGAAACGAGGAATGAATGAACTATGAATGAATTGGGTACAAGTACTAACCCTAATTGGGTTGTACCCCTTATGGAGTACCCCACTATAGCCTACACAATATGCATGAGCTATAATGTTCTGACACACCCCCATAGGCAAAGTGGGGGAGAACAAGGGGTCACAAGACCAGTCAAGCAAAGCAAAGCAAAGCAAGCTCAGGGTGGATCACAAAGTCACCACACATTCCGAGCACAAGTTCAAGGCCACAAGGCCAGTTCACAAGCAGGAGTACACATATATATAAAAAGGCTAGACAAGCAAGAGCAGGTATATATATGTAACAGTACAAGCAAGGTCAAGAGGTGAGCAAGTGAGGCAAGGTAGGCACAAGGCCCAGCTGAGTACAGAAGCGCTGATGGTCACAAGGCGCAAGTGCCTTGGTGAAGATATCAGCAGTGTTGGCCTCAGAGGCCACGTACGCAAGACGCAGCTGACCACGCTGCTGCAGCTCACGAGCAAGAAAGTAGCGGAGAGCAATGTGCTTCGTTCTGTGCTCCAGTCGCTGCTCCCGACACAAGGCCAGCATGGCCTTGTTGTCTACGTACAGCACTGGAGGAGAACGAGGCAACTCTCCGAGGTCAGTCAGCAGGTAGGTGAGCCAGCGAAGCTCCTGTGCAGCCATGGCTCCTGCGTAGATCTCAGCCTCACAACTGGAGCCGAGAACAGAAGACGAGCGAGTAGCCCGCCACGAAACAGAGCCGGAACCAAGGCTGAAGGTGTAACCCTGTGACGACCGCTGCGTAGCCTGGTCGTCAGCCCAAGAAGCGTCTGCGTGCCCAGTAAGGACCACTGGACTCTGCCCTCCAAGCACAAGCCCCATGCCCGACGTACTGCACAAGTAGCGCAACACCCTCTTCGCTGCAGCCATGTGCTCCGGTCTGTGTCTCCCAGGAGCAACATAGCGTGCAAGAATGCTAAGAGGGTATGCAAGGTCAGGTCGTGTGCAGCTCATCAGGTACATGAGGCAGCCAACAAGCTCTGGGTACGGGCCACTCGACTCTACGGACTCATCCGAAGGCAGAGCTGAGAGCGAGTGGCGAGTAGGCAGAGGAGTGGCCTGAGGCGAGGAGTACGTGAAGCCGAAGCGCTGAAGGACCTGCTGCACCATGTGTGACTGAGTCAGGGTAATGGTGCGGCGTGCTCTGTCCCGAGTGATCTGCAAGCCAAGGTAGCTGCGCAGTTCACCCAGGTCAGTGCACGTGTGTCTCTTCTGCAGCTCGGACTTCACGTGGGCTAGTCCTGCAGTGTCAGCTGTGGCAAAGACCAAGTCGTCGACGTACACGAGGATGTAGAACGGCGGCAAAGAAGTGTCGGTGCGCAGAAACAGCGACGGGTCGGCAGTAGAGGGAGCAAACCCAAGAGCCGCAAGCGTAGTCCTCAGTGTGTCGTGCCACTCACGCGGTGCCTGGCGGAGACCGTAGACTGGCCGCCGTAGGCTCCACTGGGTGCCAGGAGGAAAAGACCCAGTGAAGCCAGGTGGGCGACGCAGCCAGATCTCCTCGTGCAGGCTGCCCTGCAAGAAAGCAGTGCTGAAGTCAAGAGAGTGTAGCTCGTAGTCACGGTGAGCAGCTACGTGCAGCAGTACCCGAAGAGTGGTCATCTTCGGAGTGGGAGAGAAGGTCTGAAAGTAGTCAACTCCCTGCCGCTGACTGAAGCCACGAGCCACGTAACGCGCCTTGAAGACAGGCGGAGAACCCGGCGGTCGCTTCACCCTGAAAATCCACATGCCACTGACAATGTTCGCCCCAGGAGGGGGAACAGCGTCAACGTAGGTGCCTGTGGACTTCCAGGAAGCCATCT